GCTCACCAGCCACTTATACTGCGGCTTTTCTAACCAGGCTGAAAAATGCGTCTCATTTTGGATAATTAATAAGGTATTTTAACTTCTGACGTTGTTGTAGATGAGAGTCGCTGCATTCTCCCCTTCCAGTATCATCGTGATGATACGAAAAAACATTGGTATTTGTAGAGAAGGTTGCTTTTTTTTTCAGTCATTCCTGCGCGTGATAAATATCCCTTCTGCTTTGAATTGAATTTTGTTTGGGACTGTTTCCATTTGAGTTACTGGCTACCTCGTATTAAGTGGCGGTACTCGTCGACATTTGCGCCAGAACAGGAATATCTCTAGTCATGATTTATGCGTGTTTGTCTATGTTAGACATACAGAGGCAAGTGTTTTGCGTCGAAGGCAAATGCAATCACGTGTTATAGGTTGTGCTGCCATGTAATATTCGTCATAAGTTACAACTTCGGGGTAGAATGGTTTTCTCCGAAATATCGGTGTATGTGCTTCTACCCATGGAGGGGAGAGAGTTGGTGATATTGTGCTTCGGTGGCTTTTCCGAATCCTTGACAGTGGATCCTAAAAAAGAAGTTGAACACCTTTACCAACCAGGTTGAAACAGACGTCACATTCTTGTTGGTTCATTGGGGATTTAAACTTCTGGCGTTGTTGTAGAAGAGAGTAGGTCCAAGAGTATCTCTCCCAATTGAGCTTTTTGTTCGATTTCAAATTTCGTTATGTATTGGTCTAAAAGCGTTCCACCATGTACGCTGTATTCATGCTCAAGCACGGCTTAAAAGAGAATAAGGTAGGCTTTGAGCACTCATAATAGGCTCATTTCCTTACAATACTCTATTTGGTCATCTACTTTTGATCACCAGCTATCATCAGCTTCAATAAGGGTGCAGTTTCGATCTGTGCTAGCAGAAATGCATATACATATGCATTTACCAGTTTGAGATTCTTTTAAAAGATTATTAATAGTTTTTAGAATTACTATCAGATATTCTGTTACTAATCAAAAAATTTCGTTATTTATTGTAACTGCATGTGGAATTGTTAAAAACTATATTTTAGGACATGAAATGTAATTCTTAATATATATATATATATATATTCGTGTGCGGATGCGCAATGTTTTCCAGTAAAACTTCCTTTTAAATTCAATATTTTAACATATTTTTTTTTATTCTTTCTATGCAGCTAGAACAGTATCCCTTTAATTTTATCCTTATCTGGCTTCCAAATTTTTCACATTTTCGAAGCCTAAATTAGTAAATCCCCAGTTGCTTTTAAATTATTAGTTTAAAATTTTTCGAACTCAATGTGCATTCTGAATCAAGATTGCCAGGACCGATGGAAGCACGTGCTTCCTTATTTCTCCCTTACATGATGTTGAATAATACTTGAGCTCCTCACACAGTCCATGTTAGGTGTTCATATTACGTAACTACTTAACCTACTTCGAAATCTCTGATTACCTATATTCGAGGTATCAGAGTTCAGGTAATCAGAGATTACTTCTGTTGCTTCTGTTAATATATGTTATTTCATACTCACGTCCAGAGCGGTCAAGATGTGTGAACGGAGCTCTCTCATTCTTTCTATTATATTCTCAATAGCTTAAAATAATTATTTGGGGGTAATAAAAACTTTTTTTCTATTGAAACGCCTTCCTATTTGCCTCTGATTACTGTACACCAGGTATAAAAATTACATATATGTGTCTGTTTTAACAGATAAGAACGGCAATTAATCGACTTTTCTTTTAAATGCTTAATGTTGCTAAAAATCTTCAGTTTGATGTTATTATCATTTTAAAAAGTAATGACGTTTGTTAGAAATCTAGTTTCAATACGTAATTTTTTTTTCAATCTCAATTTAAACGAAAAAATAAAGGTTTCTATATATTTTCGCAATAATGTTATTATTATCATTTTAATAATTTATGATGTATATTACATGCCCTGTTATATTTAGCATCTACTGTCCTTATATTCAGGTGATTAAAATAAAGTTTTATACAACTACTATACGCAAAATTTTGTAATATAGTTTCCTTCATATTTATTCCGATTTTCTAATTTGGATAATAATTTATATATTTAGGCCAAGAAAATTTGCCAAAAGCTATAGACTACTTTGCCGTTTTAAGAACGTAACCCAAGGGTCACCAACGAGGGCGTAATTGTTTTATTATCACTTGTAAAATACCTCCAGGAGTGTGAGCGCATTTTACTAAATTGTATGTAATTACTCAACTGTAAAATTGCGGAACAGGATAAGTAGAAAATAGAAAACATTGCACTGAAATGAAAACATATAGCATAACAGAACACTTTTCCAAAATGTGAGCTGTGCTGTGTCGAGACCTGATGGTGAAAGTCAACAAATTACTGAATCCGCATGAAAAATTCCGACATTTGTTTGGTGCCCTATAAAAGAATTTACCGAATTGTCGAATTCCATATTAATGAGAGATTATTATGTCGGAGAGTCTTTAAAACCATGTATTTTCATTTTAGTTAAAAAGCTTACTGTTATTCTGGTTGCAGAAAAACTTACGTATTAAACACAATATTTTAAATCAAGACTATTTATAACCTAGCTGTACAAATTTTATGTTCACATATCTATCTTAAAGTACTTAAATGCTGCATATATATTTATAAGATATCACCTGACCATTCCTTAACAGTATTTTATGCTAATAATGCAAATCCTTTATTTTATAAGCATATATTATATTACATAATTAACTCTATAATAACTACATAATATCATACAATTCCCATCGGAAATATTCTTTATATCTCAAACTTATGTATTACAACATATTATTAATTCTCTATTAACCGAAATGTATCATATCATTTATTGCTTTGAAATTGAAATTTACTATTGTCAAATCCAGCGCTATGTAGTTTAATATATATCATTATATTATATAATTTATACTGCATTAATTATAATGTATCATGCAATTCATATGTATAACATTTAATTACTTTTTATCCAATCCAAAATTAATAAAATTTAATGTTAGTAATCTATGTATGTATTAAATTATTTATTTAATCCTATATAATTCAGAATTTGTCACATATTTCATAAATTTAACTAAAAAATATTTTTATTAGATCCAACAATATTAATATTTAAAACTCACGATTCTCTTCTATATATGTTGACATGTCTCAAATTAACTTCAGATTGATTATGAAAGTAAGTAATTTAGGATCATTGCTACACCCCTACGCATTTCACATGAGTATCATATTCAAATTCCTGATTAAGATATCGGATGCTTTGAGTATACTTAATTATTATAATTGGATGAAGGTATTACTATTCCTATGGGAAGAAAGTTGAGCTACGCATATAATGAAACACATTATGTTTTGAACCTATTGTATGATGTTCCTATCACAAAAGTATTATATTTAAGTAAATAATGAAACTTGTTCAGAAATAACAACTTAAATTGTTATAATATTTGATGGACAATAAATATTCAAATATTCAAATTCAACTTATTGTATGAATTATAAAATAAAACATTTTACTCTTCTTATGCTATTTTTTTTCTTTGTGTTATTCTTTGGTCAAATTAAATAATTTTCGTTTTAAACAGATAACTTTGGTTACGAGTAAAATGTTCCGCTTAACAGAAAATTTTTTATGTAAAAATTTTATGAAAGCAAAATTACGAAATAACATTTTAAGAAAATATGTTAAAAATTATCTAAATTAAAAGCTTATTTTAAAGCATATTTATATTTTATAATATTTTAGATATTTATTTGCTAACTGTATGTTTTCTTTTGATTATTCTTTAGTCAAATGTAATTATTTTCGTATTAAAATCTGATGATTTTGGTTACAAGTAAAATAGTTTCCATTCAAGAGAAATATCTTTGGAATGAAAATCACGAAATTTAAATTTAGAAAAGGGGCAAGAATATACTAAAAATGTCTAAAATGCAAAATTATTTCAGATCATATTTGTTATTGTTAGTTTTGTAATATTTCAGATATTCATGTGCTTTTCGTATCAAATTATTATTATTATTTTAAAAAATAATATACATTACTGCTTATTAAAATGAAAATTGATGACAGTGAGCTCCTTCATCACTTTGGTCCGTAAAATTTATATTTAAATAAAATTGTTATAACAATACTGTTACCCTGAGCTTAGTAGGCTAAATTAAATTTACGGAAATCTTTGAATAAAATTCTTCCTATTTAAAAC